AAATCCAGTTATTCTGTGTACCTCAGAGTTTCAGTAGTTCTCATTACTTAGCAACCTTCTCATTTCTTCTTCTTTTATATGGAGGGGATTGAACTAGATGGTATTCAACTAGATGGTTGATAACCCCTGTAGAGTTTTACCGTGCCATAACTTTGGAGTTGCACCCATGGAACAAGGTATTTTCTTTATCCTAACAGGTTCTATGGAGATTTGATGGCAAAAAACCAGACACCTTAGGACCCAACACTCGGTTGTACAAGTGGATACCCCAGAATGACCTTCTTGGTAAGATACTGGAGAAAAAATACTGATTATATGACTAAAAGCCAACTAGAGTGATAGTAGGTCAACAGCAAGTAACATAGTGAGTATTTGTTTTTGAAAACTCAAATATAAAACCTAACTATTATATATTTATTTTCTAGCCCTTAGGGGAAAGAATACAGTATATCAGTTGGCATTTTGTTACATACATCCATGTTCTTTGTGTCCATAAACAAAGTATTAATACCTTTATTTCAGTTTTAATTGACTATCAGAAAATTTTTCAATAGCTACCTGGGTCATCTTTCTCCTATCGCTAGAACGTTGCCCCATACTGTTCCCTACAGTAGGTTTATTTCAAATGCCAGTGAAAAATAACAGATCTTCTTCTGTAACCAGTGACACTGCATTCTCTATTGGGATAAATCACCAATCTTTTTTTTTTTATTTCTGTATATTATGGGGGTAGAAATGTTTAGGTTACATTGCCCTTGCCCCCCACCCAGTCAGAACCTCAAGCATGTCCATCCCCCAGATGATGCGCAACACACTCATTATTTATGTGTATACTCATCCCCTCATCCCCCCTTCCCTCTAGCTGACGCCCAATAAATGTTATTTCTATATGTGAACTTAGGTGTTGATCAGTAAAATCAATTTGCTGGTGAGTACATGTGGTGCTTATTTTTCCATTCTTGGGATACTTCACTTAGTAGAATGGGTTCCAGCTCTATCCAGGAGAGTACAAAAGTTGCTATATCACCATTGTTTCTTATACCTGAATACTACTCCATGGTATACATATACCACATTTTATTAATCCACTCACGTATTGATGGGTACTTGGGTTGTTTCCACATCTTTGCAACTGTGAATTGTGCTGCTCTGAACATTCCAGTGCAGGTGCCTTTCTAATAGAGTGTCTTTCGTTCTTTTCGGTAGATGCCCAGTAATGGGATTGCTGGATCAAATGGTAGATCTACTTGTATCTCTTTAAGGTATCTCCATATTGCTTTCCACAGAGGTTGCACTAGTTTGCAGTCCCACCAGCAGTGTATGAGTGTTCCTATCTCTCCACATCCACGCGAACATTTATTGTTTTCGGATGGTTTGATAAAGGCCATTCTCACTGGAGTTAAGTGATATCTCATTGTGCTTTTGATTTGCATTTCTCTGATGATTAGAGATGTTGAGCATTTTTTCGTATGTTTCTTGGCCATTTGAAAAGTCTTCTTTTGAAAAGTTTGTGTTCATGTTCTTTGCCCACTTTTTGATGGGGTTGTTTGATTTCTTTCTTGCTGATTTTCCTGAGTTCTAAATAGATTCTGGTTATGAGCCCTTCATAGGAACTGTAGCATGCAAAAGCTTTTCTCCCATTCTGTAGGTTGTCTGTTTACTTTCGTGACAGTTTCTTTGGCTATGCAGAAGCTTTTTAATTTCATCATGTCCCATTTCTTTATTTTTGTTGTTGCTTTACCTTTGGGGTCTTCTTCATAAATTCTTTGCCTAGTCTGATGTCTATAGGAGTTTTTCCAATATTTTCTTCTAGAATTCTAATCATTTCACATCTTAGGTTTCAGTCTGTTAACCACCATGAGTTGATTTTTTTGAGAGGTGAAAGGTATGGATCCTCTGTCAGTCTTCTACATGTGGCTATCCAGTTTTCCCAGCACCATTTATTGAATAGGGATTCTTTTCCCCGGTGTATGTTTTTGTCTGCTTTGTCAAAGATTAGATGGCTATATGAGGATGAACTATATCTGGGTTCTCTGTTCTGTTTCACCGGTCAATGTCCCTGTTTTCATTACCAAGCTGTAACAAGCTGTTTTCATTACTATAGCCTTGTAGTATAGTTTGAAGTCCGGTAGATTGATACCTGCCATTTTATTTTTATTGCCCAGGATTGCTTTTTCTACCGGGGTCTTCTCTGGTTTCATACAAAGCATAAAATTATTTTTTCTAAATCTATGAAAATTGATGTTGGTATTTTAATAGGGATTGCATTGAATATGTAGATCCCTTTGGAGAGTATAGACATTTTAACAATGTTTATTCCTTTGACTCTCGAGCACGATATGGTTTTTCCTCTGGTTTACGTCCTCTGCTATTTCCTTCTTCAGTGTTTCATAGTTCTCCCTGTAGGGATGGTTTACCTCCTTAGTTAAATGTATTCCTAGGTACTTTATTTTCTTTGTTACTATTGTGAAGTGTATTGAGTCTTTGATTTGGTTCTCGGTATGACTGCTATTGACATATATGAATGCCTCTGATTTCTGTGTATCGATTTTGTATCCTGAGACTTTACCGAGTTCATTTATCAATTCCAGGAGTCTCTTGGTTGAATCCTTGGGGTTTTCTAGATACAATATCATATCATCAGCGAAGAGTGAGAGTTTCATCTCCTCTGCCCCCATTTGGGTGCCCTTAATTCAGCTGTCTTGTCTAATTGCTGTAGCAAGGACTTCTAGCACTATGTTGAATAGAAGTGAATATAGTGGGCAACCTTGCCTGGTTCCAGTTCTAAGTGCGAATGATTTCAATTATTCCCCATTCAGTATGATGTTGGCTGTGGGTTTGTAAGATATTGCTTGTATAATTTTTAGGTAACCCCCATCTATGACTATTTTGTTAAACATTCTTATCATAAAAGAGTTTTGCATTGTGTCAAATGCTTGTTCTGTGTCTATTGAGAGGATCGTATGGTCTTTGTTTTTCCTTCTATATATACGGTGAATTACATTTGTAGCTTTGCAAATGTTGACCCATACCTGTATCTCTTGGATGAAGCCCACTTGGTCGTGATGGATTATTTTCTTGATAAGCACCTAGATTCGGTTTGCTAAGATTTTGTTGAGAACTTTGCACGTATATTCGTAAGGGATATTAGTCTGTAGTTTTCTTGTTTTGCTTCGTCTTTTCCGGATTTTTGTATCAGACTTATGTTGGCTTCATAAAAAACGTTGGGGAGCTTTCCATCCTTCTTGATGTTGTGGAATAATTTTTGCAAAAATCCCCAATGTTGATTACAATGCTATAACACTTCCACAATGAAGGATGGCCTGTCCTTCCTCTGATTTCAGCACTGTTCCCATCACACGCCCTGCCATCCTGGGCACCTTACGTGTCAAGCACAGTGACTGCACAATTTCTTTAAGAGAACATGTTCTTACATGATTAACCTAATTCTTTAGTTTTTCTTTTCCTTTTTATATTTTTCTTACATTTTCTTTATCCATAATGTGATTTTTAATGTGTGGACCCAGAAATCTTTTATTCATTCTTCCATTCTCAAGTCACGCACCATTTCTTCCATGCAGCCTTCACTTACCTATCCAGCAAAAGTAGGTGCTTCTTCCTCTGAAATCTGAATGCAATTTCAGGAAAGTTTCATGAGTATTCTAATCTGCTGTCTAGAAAACATTGCCCCTCTCAGTGTCCTATATTGTGCATTTCTCATTTTATTCCTAAAACTACTAATGAATAATTTTGCTGAAATTTACCCAATTCTAGGTCATCCAAAAACCAAGGCTTTTATAACTCACGGTGGAATCAATGGTGTCTATGAGGCCATCTACCACGGGGTCCCTATGGTGGGCATTCCTTTGTTTTGGGATCAAGCAGACAACATTGTTCACATGAAGGCCAAGGGAGCAGCTGTTAGAGTGGACTTCAACACAATGTCAAGTACAGATTTGCTCAATGCTTTGAAAACAGTCATTAATGACCCTTTGTGAGTATACTAATTCTTTTAGTACTTCGTATTTATAGATATGTTCTCTTGTCAACAATGAAGATTAGATTCATCCTTTTTGTTGTTTGATTAACTTTGAAACAATTTAAATGTTTTAAGCAACATGAAATTAGCTTTTATTTTTTACCGGTTATTTCACAGTTGCATTGAACACTCTAAATTTAACGGGTACCCAATTAGTGCAAAGAGGTTCTAGGAAAAATAACTTCAGATATATATATGAAGAAGTATAATCAGGGTGAATTTCAAAAAATTAAGACAGAATTGACAGTAAACATGAGTAATGAACTTAAAAATATGATAAAATATTTTAATTCAATTCCTAAAATTTCTGAATGTATTATTGTTTCTTACTCAGAATTTAATTTTATATTATCATTATTTTAATAGATTTGATAATGACATATAATTTACAATGCATAAAATTCATCATTTTAGAATATGAAATTTAAATATTTTTAGTATGTTCATGGAGTTTTCAAGCCATCACCATAATATAATTTTAGAATTTGGTTTTCAACTCAAAATAAACTTCATAAAGCATAGATGCCTTTTCTCATAAGCCCCGAACCCAGGGAAATTCATATTTTTTTCTCTATGCATTACCCTAGATGGGTAATGCACCATCTTTCATTACTAAAAGCAGAATACGAGGGTTTCAATTCCTTCATAGTGTTCCCAATGCTTATCATGTGTCTTTTTATTTCTGCCATTGTACTGTGTATAGTATCCTCTCATTACTCTTGATTTCTATTGCCCTTATTGCTAAAAATACTCAGCATCTTTTCAAGTGCTTGCTAGTCATTCACATATCTTCTTTGGAGAAAGTTCTATTTCAACCGTTTGAAACATTTTGTTATTTTTAAATTTATTTTATTCACGATTTACAATAATACTTTATATATTAGGGTTACAATTTCCTATCAGACATATGATTTTCAAATATTTTCTTCCATTCTGGATGGGTTCATTGTTATACATTTTTGATGATATACTTTGAAGCACAAATTCTTAATTTTGGTAAAATAAATCTATAATAATCAATTATTTACATAATCCACAGGAAATAATTTGGAAATTGATATGTCTAGATCAGCCATTATCAATTCAGGATTTCTTAATACTGTCAATAACATTGCTATATAAGGAGATATCACCTAAAGGAATACTTGAAAGATATTTTGTCAAGAAAAACTGCTAGAAGAATAAATGATAAAAATAATTTAAGAAAGGAAGGAAAAAACTAGAAAATAAACATTAAACAGATTGGAAAAATTCAAGAGAAAAATACAGAATGAGGTGTTAGATATAAATCTTAATGTACCACTACTTATATGAAATCTGAACAAAGAAAAGACAAAATAACGATTATGGACATAAAGCATTTAAAGAACACAATTTAAAAATGTGCATATTCACATAGGATACATGTATAGATATTTATATATAGCACATACATTTATAATATGCATATATAGGTAAATGTGTGTGTGTACTTATGTGTATAAACTAGATATACACTCTTCTCAAGACTATACAGAATAGTTACCTGACTTGAGCACATAATGTGTTATAGATCACAACTCAGTAAATTTTAAAAGATTGAAAATCATAAAGTTAAAAATAATCAAGTTACCTCTTTAAAGTAACAGTCCATTGGTGACTTCGTAATAATTTTTCAGTGAAGTTTTACCATTTGAGCTGTTTACTTGGATTATGTACATTTATCTTATGTATTCCCTACTTAACAGTTTATTTGAGAAGATATACAACATATTTTAAAATTCCAAGATCGAATAGACAAATAAGCACACTAAAACAGGGGAAATCCTAGGGGTGCTACCATACCAGGAAAAGCCTCTCTGAGAGATGACATTTAAGGAGAAGCTTCAAAAAGACATACAAGCAAGCTTTGTGTCGTTTCAAGGAGGAATGCCCCAAAGACGGAGGGGATGAAAATTGTAAAGGTGCTAAGGTGAGAACATATTTTGAAGCTTAAAGAGTAATAAAAGGACAATGTTTCTAGAAGACAGTGTCCATGGGGAAAGTGTTAGGAGGGGAAGTTCCAATATGTAATGACGTAGGGTCGTGTAGACCAAAGGAGAGATTTGGTTATATTTCTATGAGATGGGAAGCCAGATGGAAATCTGAATCAGGCAAAGTGATGATGAGACATGGGTTTAAAAATAATGATTCTGAGTCCTGGGTAGGAAACAGAGAGTAGAAGACAGAAGAGTAACACAGAAGCAGAGAAACTGCTTAGGAGGCATATCACCCACTATGACAAAATTCCCTTTTGAAAACATCAAGATGATGTTTCTCAGATTGCATTTCCACTACCATACTTATAGCACTTAGAATGATTCCAAATGTTTTCCACTGCTTGAAAGATACTAACTTTCCCAACTGACCTTCCATTTTCACTTTTAAACAGATTTCTAAATAACAAAATTCCAATTAAAAGCCAAACATATGACTTATATTAAAATATGACATAAAGATTTTCAAATTTTTGTAAAATTAATGGCATTTACTTTCAATCACATAACACTTTCAAAAATCTTTCATGAATTCGACATGTGTAGGCCATAAACCTACTTTTGTTGTTGGAATCTTTATGTTTTTTTGTTTTCCAGATATAAAGAGAATGCTATGAAATTATCAAGAATTCAACATGATCAGCTAACAAAGCCCCTGGACCGAGCAGTCTTCTGGATCGAGTATGTCATGCGCCACAAAGGAGCCAAACACCTTCGGGTTGCAGCCCACGACCTCACCTGGTTCCAGTACCACTCTTTGGATGTGGTTGGGTTCCTGCTGGCCTGTGTGGCAACTGCTATATTCATCATAACAAAATGTTGTCTGTTTTTTTGCCGGTTATTTACTACAGCAGGAAAGAAGAAAAAAATGCAGTAATTAGATCTAGACCTGATCATGCCATAATAAAGAGGAGTCCCATGGAAGAAGGCAACCCAAGTCCCGGTGGACGTGCCAGCCTTTAGGTGATCTAATGTACCTGTTGAAGAACAGGGAAAAATGAAAATATTGATCTTTTCACTGATCTTTCTTTAGTTAATTTGTTCTGCATATCAGATGGAGATACAAGTCCTTAGTGACGATTTCCCTAGATTATTTTCTCTTCTCCTGATCTGTCTCATGGCTGGGTTTGTCATCCTAGACCTCAATTGGTGAGTCATCTATGATGTCTGAATTTGCAGAAGATGGTTTCTCGGATCACCTACAGGGTGTAATAAATAGTTCCACACTCAGAGAAGTCATGTCTTCTTCTTGCCCCTCCCACTATTTGATGTTACGTACCAGGTGACAGCAAGGACCCACAATCCTACTAGTGTCTTAGACACGAAGTGGGGTTAAATCTCTCTTTTCAGGTGTAATCCTTTTCACCTTGTCAATCCTCATGTTTGTAGTTGTTCCTTATGCCATTCGTCAACTGGTCAGTAGTGGCAATCTCTGTTTTTATAAATCTACTGCCAAAGCTTTGCAATTACATAAATAAATATAAACCTTCCATCTAAAACATCACCCCAATTCCACAGGAAGTAGTTCGATGACTATGTCACCCCTCTTCCCATAGATACAGAAGGGTAAAATTGGGAGTGGGGAATATGTAACAGGTAAAGACCGAGAAAAGTTGAAATGTATTGCAAGATATCTCTTTAAAATCTCCCCCACTCTTTTTGAGAATTAAAACCTCCATGCCTGTGCCAGGCCAGTGGTCAGGAGGGGCAGAGAAGTGTCCTTTGGTCTTTGTACCACAGGACATGGCTCAATGGAACTGTCCATTAAGCAGTCATGAGATTGTCTTTGCTGGAAATGGCATTGATCAGAACCATCAACTATAGTTAAATAGCAATACCTTGAAGCTGAATACCCTTCCTTTAAAAGCTCTGTATCTTTGCTCTATTTGCAAATTATATGCATACTGAGAAACTATTATAAAATATATTTCAAAAAACACAATTCAATAGACAAGCAAATCAAAAATTGTCTAAGGATTTGAATAAAAATTTCTGTCAAGAAAAAATATGCAACAGTTGAAAAGCACAGAAAAAAGGCTCAACCCCTTTAGGAAATAATGAGGTATCAATTTACTCCCACTCGCTATAATCAAAAGATCTATAACAAAAAATTCTTGCAAGGAGGTGGAGAAATTGAACGCCTCATGCTTTGCTCGTGGGAATGGAAAATGGTACAGCCACTGTGGAAAACATTCTAGCGATTCCTGGAAATGGTGAACATACAGGTAGCTTATGACCCAGTAATTCTACTTCTAGGCATATACACAAGAGAAATCAAAATATGTACACACAAAGCCTGTACATGAATGTTAATAAGCAATAAGAAACACTATAACAATGTTAACAAAAAATAAATAACATTCAAGTTTATTAAAAGTATTATCACAAGAGTCTATGTTAATAATATATTGATAATTTTGGCTTTTATGAAAGTCAAATATTGAACAAAATCAATGTCCACCAATTGTTAAATGAATAAATAAAATGTTTATATCCATATGTTAGAATATTATTTGGCAATATAAAGGAAAGAAGTCCCTATATAAGGGACACCATGCATGATCCTTTTTAAACATTATGCTAGGTGAAAAATTCAACTCAAGAGGGACCACATCGTTATGATCCCATTTATCAAATTGTACAAAAAATGAAAATCTATACATACAGAAAATAGATTATTGGTTGCTAAGGACAGGGCGGATGGAGAAACGCAGGGTGGGAAGATAAATACTCAAGGGCACAGGGATTCTTTTAGGGAGATGAAACTCTTTGCTGTAGTGGATGTGCAGTTCTATGAACACACTTAGGAAACATTAAATTTTAAACAATAATGGTGAATCATATGGGATATACATTACCTATCAACAAAGTTTTACTAAAACAAATCTTCGAGCAATGATATTCAAGAAATATTGACTCAGCTACACAATTGCTTTATTTCTACTTCTGTGTCAAGGGACTGCACACCATGGAGCCTCTCACTTGCCATAATTTTTGACCCTATTCTAAAATACATTACATACAGGGGGAGGAGCCAAGATGGTGGACGAGAAAAGCCACCAATCAGAATGTCTTTGCAAAAAAGACAAATTTTCAAAGAAAGAGAAAATAATAAACTAGCAGAGAAACATAGATTGGGTTAGGGTCAGAGGGAAGGGTGCCTGAAACTACAGGAGACTCCACGGAAGGATGTTGCACAGGAGAACTGGAAGGAGAAAGGTCCCCAGAGTCTTGGAGACCAGCGACAGGGGTAGGTGGAGCAGATAACGTTCCCTTCCCTTGCATCTTGAACTGTTGGTGGGCTCCTGAGCTGTTGGAGAGACCTACCCACACCAGCCCAGAGACGACTGCCACCAGTGAGCAGTGTCCTCTTGTGGATTCGGCACCATGCTCCCAGCTCCCTTGGGGCACCTCCCCGGGTGCACACCCAAGCCTATTGGTAGATTCCATATTGCTCCATTCTCTCCTTGCCCTTCCCTAGCCATAGGTGCCCAGAGAGACAATTTAGCCATCACACGGAGGCAGATCTAAGGAAAGGATATCTCCTTTTTGGGCCCTACAACAGACTGAGGAGTACTGAGACTGCGAGCTCCCTACCCGCCAGCCCTCCTAGGAGCTGCTTCCCTGGGGAGTCCAGGAGAGTGGGGCAAATACCGAGGTGGAGTGAAATCGATCCAGCTTGGGCATCCTGTAGGTGATTTCACACCAGCAACACTCCCCCGGGCAGGGTCAGGGATTGATCTCCAGGGCCCAAGGGACAGGCCTGCAGACCAGACCCCATATACCCAGGTCACCATCGCACTGTCCCAGGGCACAGAAGGAAGATCTGTGAAAGAGCCTACTGAGGAGTGTGTGCCTTCAGGGGCAGATCAGCATGCCTGAGTGGCAACCCTCCTCCTAAAACAGGTCTGTGCACCCAGCTCAGGCTGCAATCCTAGGTAGGGAACCGCCCGGCCCACGTCACAGCCAGGGGAGATCCATTGGCCTGAGGTCTCACTTGCTGGCAGAGGACTGGCAGAGGCCAGAGAGAGGGGGAGGTTGGGGGGAGTGAGACCTGCTCCAGAGCGTGGATCTCGGACAGCCCAACCCACCAAGCCCAGACTTACAGGTGAGTGGAGCCATTTCAGCCCCTCCCGGGACTTTGCACGGAAACAAAGAACAGACCTCTGACCCCTGCTAACAGCAGTTGTGGAGTCTGAGGGCAGGCTTACCGAACCGAGCCCTGCCCAGACTCACTCCTGGTCCAGCACCCACTGAGGTGAGAATAAGGACACACCTGGAAATCCCAGGGCCCGACCCACCACCTGAGGCACAAGAGGGCCTCTCTAGAGGAACAAGAGCTGGCTACAGAATCCAAAAACAGCACTCCAGCTCGCTCTTCCCTGCAAGTGCCACCTACTAACAGGGAGGTCATTCTGAACACCCTTTTACTGCATCTACTGATTCATCATAAAGTGTGTGGTCGAATGTCACCCACAAACACCACCTACTGGCTCAGAGACTAAACAGAGTGTGTCAATATCCAAATGAATATCTAAAGGCAAGAAGGACAACTGACCCATATGGAAAGGAACTCGCGAAAGAACTCTGGAAGTATGAAGACTCAAACGGAAAGCACACCCCCAAAGAGGAACAACAGCTCCCCAGCCATGGACATTAACCAAACTCAGAACAATCAAATCACAGAAGAAGAATTTCAAACATGGATTGTAAGGAAACTCAATGATATGCAAGAAAAAATGGATCATCAACACAAAGAAACCACAAAAGAAATCCAGACTTATAAGAAAAATTCACTAAAGAAATTGAAGTATTAAAGAAAAATCAAACCGAGATCCTGGAAATGAAGGACTTATTCAGGGAACTACAAAACATGGTGGAAAGCCTCAAGAACAGGGGAGATCAAACAGAAGAAATAATCTCAGAGATTGAAGACAATTCCTCCCAATTAAATAAGTGAGTCACAGAGATCAAGCAGAAAATTAAAAGAAAAGAAATAAGCCTACAAGAAATATGGGATTATGTGAAAAAAAATCAAACCTGAGGGTGATAGGGGTTCCAGAAGGTGAAGAAGAAAACACTCAAGTGCTGGATAAGCTATTTGAAGAATTATTAGAGGAGAATTTCCCAGGCCTTGCTAAAAATCTAGATATACAAGTACAACAAGCTCAACGGACCCCAGGGAGATCCAATGCAAATAAGAAGTCACCACATCATGGAATCATCAGATTGATCAAAATATCCACTAAAGAGGCCCTTCAAAGAGCTGTAAGGCAAAAGAAACAAGTAACATACAAAGGAAACCCCATCAGAATAACTCCAGATTTCTCAACTGAAACCCTACAAGCAAGAGGAGACTGGGGCCCCATTCTCACTCTTCTGAAACAGAATAGTGCCCATTCTGGAATCTTGTACCCTGCAAAACGAAGTTTCATATATAAAGGAGAAACAAAGACATTCTCAGATAAGCAAAGACTGAGGGAATTCATCAGGACAACACCAACTCTCCAAGAAGTACTCAATACAGAATTACACAAGGATCAGCACAATAAACACTCTCGAATGTAAAACCACTCAGAAGTTAAAGATCAAAGGCTAGATTCCACAATGGCTCAAGACAGAAAACAAAGCAACAAAATAGGACCCAACAGAATCAACAGTAATTCACCCCACTTATTGATTCTCTCAATAAATGTGAATGGTTTGAACTCCCCTCTCAACAGACATAGACTGGCCGAATGGATAAAAAAAAACAAGCCAAACATCCGCTGTCTCCAAGAAACGCATATAACCTGCAAGGATGCATTTAGGCTCAAAGTAAAGGGGTGGAAAACAATATTTCAAGCAAATGGAAGCCAAAAGAAGGCAGGTGTGGCAGTTTTGATCTCAGACAACTTGGTTTTTAAATCAAAAAAGTAATGAAAGACAAAGGGGGTCACTATGTAATGGTGAAGGGTACAGTTCAACAAGAAGACATAACAATTCTAAATATGTATGCACTCAACTTAGGTGCACCCAGATTCATAAAGCAAACTCTACTTGATCTAAACAAATTGATAGACAGCAACACCATTATAGTGGGAGACTTCAACACCCCACTGACAGCACAGGACAGATCCTACAAGCAGAAAGTTAACAAAGAAATAATGGACTTAAACAGAACTCTAGAAAAAATGGGCTTGACTAACATTTATAGGACATTCTACCCAAACACCACTGAATACACGCTCTTCTCGTCAGCTCATGGGACATTCTCTAAGATTGACCATATTCTAGGACACAAAGCATGTCTCAAAAAATTTAAAAAAATGGAAATCATACCATGCATCTTCTCAGATCACAGTGGAATACAAACAGAAATCAACCCCAATAGAAACCCTCATCTCTACACAAAGTCATGGAAATTAAACAACTTTCTGCTGAACAATTCCTTCATAAATAAGAAAGTAAAGACAGAAATCAAAAGATTCTTTGAACTAAATGACAAAGGTGACACATGTTATCAAAATCTGTGGGACGCAGCCAAAGCAGTCCTCAGAGGAAAATTTATTTCCATAAATGCCTATATACAAAAGTCAAAAAGATTACAAATAGACAACCTAATGAATCGACTCAAAGAAGTGGAAAAAGAAGAACAGAACAACCCCAAAGCCAGCCAAAGAAGGGAAATTAGTAAGATCAAATCAGAACTAAATGAAATTGACAACAGGAAAACTATATGGAAGATTAATAAAACCAAAAGTTCGTTATTTGAGAAAATAAACAAAACTGACGCACCTTTGGCTAAACTAACGAAAAACATAAAAGAAAAATACCTAATAAGCTCCATCAGAAAAAAAAAGGAGAAGCTACAACTGATGCCATGGAGATTCAAGATATAATTTATGAATATTACAAAA